TTTCATAGATCAAAGAAAATTCGTAATTTTCATAGAAACTCACAGCTCTCTGATAACATTTTTTTTTGGTCTGTCAATAACCAGTAAACGTCGGGACAATACCCAGAATCCTCGTACTGGCACAGGCTCTTTTCACAAAAAACCATTTAGAAAAGTTGAAAAAAAAGAAGCAACCACAAGAGCAAATTCATCAAGAAGTCCTAAATCGTGCTCAGATACGCGATCAATTGTGAATTTTTCTGCCCCGCTAGTTCAAATCCAATTACTTATCAATTGGAGCCAAGCAGAGAGCAATAGGAATTGCAGTCATCCACGTTTGAATTAAATGACTTAATGGGCCGAAACGTCTTAACTCTTTCGTACTTATCTTTCCTACACCAGCTATATTTCTACATCCATCAATATATAGTTCGTTCTATTCTTGCCCTATTTAAGTTCTTAATATTACTTGTAAGCTACAATCATGCCACAGTCAGCTTTGCACGTTTTGATAGTCTGACAACGTGTTTATGCAGTTACTGGTCATAAACGCACGTATTATGAAAATACAACAAAAAGAATCGTCCCATTTGTGTCAAGAACATCGCAGAAACAGAGATTCGAGACTGATGAAAAGAAGCTGCGCAAAAAAAGTGCCTTTGAGGAAAAGCGTGGAAATTAACACAGCCGTAGATGGGCCTTAAAAAAGAACCTCAAAAAAAGGACTATAAAAGTGTTAAACTTGAAATACTCACCGGATTCCGTTTCTCGATCAATGTCAGCTGGTCCACAGAACATTTTTCCAGAACCGGCTTGAGCAGAAAATACGGCGTATCACCGACCTCATAGATCGCTAAATAATGCCGAATAAAAGTGATATTAATGAAACAGGCATTTTCCGCTCTTCAAGTAGCAAATTTATCTTTCCTGATGATTCAGGAATTAAACGCCTAGTCAGCACACTATTCTCATAAAAAGCGTTTGTCCATAATTAGATATATTGATTGCCTGTATCACGGGTGAATTCCTCTTTTTTCTCTCCTCTCTCACTCTAGTTGCTCTCTCTCGCCCTGATCTCCCTTTCTTTTGCATATCTGTCTTGCAAATTAGTTACATGACTGTTCAGAACATGGCGAGTAAAAGGCTGTACTGATGATACCCGCTTTTACCCATAAACAAAGTTCGGTCTGTGCTTACAGCTAAGGGATGAAACACAGACTGCATCGTTAAGTCCAATCCCTCTATTCTACTACTGCAGAGAAAATCTTGCGCTTATTAACTGCATGACGCAATCATCAATTTTCTCATTATTCTCGACTTGAGATGAAAGCAATAAATACTGGCAAGACGCCAGAATCATCCTAAGTGTCGGTCTTGCAGCCGCTCTGCGCCGACCACGGAGTCTAGGAAGCTGAAATTTTAGGGTAATGACCCTCTTGCTGTAGCATTAATGCTGCTCAGATGGGGTGGTCTTATACGTCAAGCACAGGTGTTTTAGACCCTACACTGTCTTCGTCC